TTGAAGTGTACCTCCTTAGCAGAGTGTGTACCATGTGAACTTATCATCAAACCAAATACCCAGTCCCATATAAAAGGGGGAGATAAACAATTACAACTTTAGCAGTTAACAATATATAGCATTAGAGTAAATACTGCTTGCCTATTAAGACCTACACTAATAATCACAAAAACAGGAATGGCAGGGTCAGAAATTAATAGCAGGTAGAACAACAAACATTTGGGAACTAAATAGAGCACCAATGTAAACACCAGTTTTCAGCAACCTCCACAATACAAATAATAAAAACAACATGAATAGTGGGTCAGAAATTACATAAACTAAATAGTTTGAAAAGATGGTAAAAATACAGTTAGTTAAGAGAAAAGAAAGTGGGGAAAGAAGGTAAAGAGAGTTTAGAATACGAAAAATGGAAATGAGAAAAAGCATAAGAGAGGGAGCACCTACCTGAAAGCGACAGAGAAGAAGGAAAAAGTAAAATAACAACAACAAAAAAAAGTATATTTGTTTATAATTCAGAGAGAGAAGAGATTTTGACTATTTGAGACAAAAGAAAAGAAAGTGTAACAAACCAAACCAAACCAAAGTAAAAAAAAAATAAATAAATAAAAGAAAGAAAATAGAAAAGCACAAAACTCATCAGCCACCAGGAAACAAAACAGAATAGCAAAAGGATGACAAAAAGAAAAAGATGAAACTAAAAAAGAAATGAAAAATGTATGTATTTGCATTTACATAAGCCAATTTGTAAATGCAATGGTAATAACCAAAAAATTCTAAATAAAAAATGAAAGAATTGTGTACCCTGAGGTGGCTAAAATTATAGACATGGAAAGATATTCATTATAGATGCCATGCTGCTCTTGTTTTCACGTTTTCTTGGAGATGACAAAGGCTGGGGTTACTTACCATTTCTTCATTTTGTGTCCTGGGACCAAAGACAGAAGTGGTCTGGGACCAAAGCTGATTAAAATGGCTTTCAGCTTCCCTGCTCACCAGTGAAAGGTAAGACAGAATGGGAAGTATCATCTATTGAAACTTTTTTTTCTAGAAAGACTAGATCAATGCACTCCCAGGGTAGGGCTGATCCAGAGTTGTAAATGGGAAGTTACTATGGTTGGGGGCTAGCTCAGATTGCAACTTTGGAAATTTGTTGGGTGATACCTATTTTGAAGAGATAATATCAACACATCCTAAGGCCAAACAAATGGAGTTATCTGATGGGCACCTGAATCTTGCCCCCTCTCCAAGAATTCTATTTATCAGCAGGATAATCAGCTGCCTTGGATATAGGTGATATAGCAGGTATTGTGCAATATGATAAGAGAGAATGTTACAACTTGTAACTCTAAGTCATTTGTAAGTCCAGAAGAATAAATTCTCCAATTGATGTTTTATTTGGCATGGCCATACTCTGAATTCTGATACATCTAGGTGAAAAGAAAACTTAACATCAATTTATAATATAATTTCAAATACATTTTTAGTTCTCTTATTCTGCATAAAGTTCATCACTAGACACATTCAACAGGAAATGGCAAAACAGCTGTTCATCAGAAGTGAAAGCTCATATCAGAATGTATTAGGGAGGGACAGGATTAATTTGTGTCCAATTACTGTAAAAGTATGTTTTAACCTCAGTTTTAATAATTCTCTCTCATATGCTTTTTGGTTACTTAGTTAATACACAAAATGCAGGTTTTTTTTTTAATTTTTAATTTTATTTATTTATTTTTTAGGTATCTTTTTAAAATTTCTTTTAATTAGTTATACATGACAGTACAATGATCTTGACATATCATACATTTGAATCACATGGTATATAATTTCTCATTTTTCTGAGTGTACAGGTTGCAGAATTACATTGGTCATGCAGTCACGTATATACCTACAGCAATAATAATGTCTATTTTATTCTGCTCTCCTTCCATTCCCCACTTCTCCTCCCCTCCCATCACTTCTCTCTACCCAATCTAATGTGACCCACTTCCTTTTTTTCCCCTCACATTGTCATACCTGAATTCTGTATAATGAAGGGGGTCTCCTTCCCTCTTCCATGCAATTCCCCTTCTCCCTCCCTTTCCCTCCCACCTCTCTTCCCTATCTAGAGGTAATTTTCTTCTCATGCTCTTCCTCCCTACCCCATTTTGAGTCACCCCCCTTATCTCAGAGAAGACAATTCGGCATTTGTTTTTTGGGGATTGACTAATTTCATTTAGCATAATCTGCTCTAATGCCATCCATTTCCCTGCAAATGCCATGATCTTGTTATTTCTTAGTGCTGAGTAATAATCCATTGTGTATAACTGCCACATTTTTTTTTATCCATTCATCCATTGAAGGGCATTTAGGTTAGCTTCACAGTCTAGCTATTGTGAATTGTGCTGCTATAAACGTTGATGTGGCTGTGTCCCTGTAGTATGCCATTTTTAGGTCTTTTGAGTGTAGTCTGAGAAGAGGAATAGCTGGGTCAAATGGTGGTTCCATTCCCAGTTTTCCAAGGAATCTCCATACTGCTTTCCAAATTGGCTGCATCAATTTGCAGTCCCACCAGCAATGTATGAGTCTGCCTCCCCCCCACACACACATCCTCACCAGCATTTATTGTTTTGTTTTGTTTTTTTTTTTTACTTCATAATGGCTGCCATTCTTACTGGAGTGAGATGGTATCTTAGAGAAGCTTTAATTTGCATTTCTCTCATTGCTAGCAATGGTGAACATTTTTTCGTGTATTTGTTGATTGATTGTATATCCTCTTCTGAGAAGTGTCTGTTCAGGTCCTTGGTCCATTTGTTGATTGGGTTATTTGTTTTTTTGCTGTTTAACATTTTGAGTTCTTTGTATACCCTAGAGATTAGAGCTCTAACTGATGTGTGAGAGTTATAAAATAGTTAATGATGATAACAGTTTGGCTTTATTGTACTTGAGGAAGATGAAACAAATTGTCAAAACAATTAGAAATTTTGAAAAGTTAGTGACAATAAAATGAAAATTCTAAATCTGTCATTGGAAAATATTGTTTAATAAGTCAATTTTTTAAAAAAGTGATTTTTGATCTACATTCATAGAAAAAAAATCAAACAAAAGTGTTATATTTGGGGGAAATTCATTGAAGTCTTTCTTATTGTGCCATGATGATATATTAACCCTTTTAGCTCTTCTCTGACTAAAGTTGACTCAAGTTGATACAATTTTCTTGGGCAAAATAGCTCCCAAGGGCCATCTCATATATCATGGAAGCTAGAGTGAAATACACCTTCTGGGGTTCAGGAATTTGTTGGAAAAGCTGGCAGCTGTGTGGGCTTCATGAAAGCAGTTGTTGAAGGTTAAGGCAGAATGGGAAGCAGCCTGACTAAGCATTGAAGAAGTCCCCCATCTTTGACTCAGATCCCAAGACCAGAATAGTTCTACGAATTTTTCTTTTTTTCTGTTTTTGGCTTCAGATGTTTAAAAACATTCTGACGAGTCACCATCTGAGTACCAACATAGAAAAATAGAGGCCATTGTGATCATGCACGATAATAGAAGTCTTATAAAAAATAGTTTAGTTAAAATCTCTAAATCAATATGACTGCAGTCCTCAACAAACAACAGCAGCAGAATCGGCAAGGGAAAAGAATTTGATTCCCAGAGTAACCACACTATATTATTCAAAATGTCATTTAAAAAATAAAAATTAAAAAAAAATAAAGAGTGACAAGGCTTACCCAAAAATAAGAAAGTATGGACTAGTCACTGGGATTTGGAAGTAGGAAGATACAAGAAAGAAATTGTCAGGAACAGATCCTCAGAATGTGCAGACATAGGCCACATTAGATGGTGACTTCATATCCATTGTGTTCAAAAAGTTGAATGTAACTATGGACAAGCAATGGAACCACAAGAATGATGAATAAATGAAAAATATCAACAAAGTGACTAAGAGTATAACAGCAAATCAAACAGAAATTTAAATTTGCAAAGTATAATAGCTGAAATAAAGAATTTTAAAGGACTTCAACAGCAGATTTTAGTGCCAATGAGAAAGCAGGAAAATCTTGCATATTGGAAAAATGATATTATATAGTTAGAGAAGATACAGAAAAAGATTAACAGTATCTGAGTCTATAGTACTTGCAGTATATAAATACCCATTTTGGGAGGCCCAGAGGATGAAATGAAAGGATAAACAGACTATTTTGAGTAATAATGGTTAAAATTTCCCGACTTGAAGAAAGACATGGATTTACATATTCAAGAGGGTCAATGAACTTCAGTTAGGATAAACTAAAGAGACTACAAAGAGATACATGAAATTCTGATGTCTAGAGCCACCCAATTTCTGGTTCTCAGTACATCAGCACTTATAAGTGAATGTATTTTCTTACAATTTCACTCTGGAAAGGTTTAGATTGATTTTCAATTATTTCCTTTTTTTAACTTTTAGAATAATCATCTTCAGATAAATTTTGAATAAGATTATAAATATTGCTTCATTTATCTTTAATGTATCTGTATTAATTATGTATGCTAGTATAAGGTTAACATTTATCATCTAATTTAACATTTACTAGCTTTATTCACATTTCTTATTTTCTCTTTTGTGTTTTTGCTTGAATAATATAATCTTATAGAGTGTCTTATTTCATTTTGGGGGGAAGCTTTTGCTACAATATGATATTCATAGACAAAATAATCATAGAATTATAGTTTTGTATTGGTATTTTATATATTGGATTAAATTAGCAATGACCAATTTTCTGTTTTAAGAAAATCTCTGTTATATATATATATATATATATATATATATATGTATAACTATATATGTATATATATATATGTATAACTATATATATATATATGTGTATATATATGAAACTGACATATATATTATATATTATATAATATTTAGTATATATTATCCATATATAATTATATATATGTATGGTTTTATCTATAGGTAAAAAAACCATTCAAAATATTTATTTAGAACAATATATTATTAAAAAAAAGATGGTAAGATGCACACTTTGGCAGCACATATACTAAAATTCCAGTGACACAGAGAAGTTTAGTATAGCCCTTGTAGATGTATGACATGCAAATTCATAAAGGTTTAATTTTTTTCATAAATAAATAAAATGGCAGGAAATGATGATAATTTTTATAAACACATTGAATGTCAGTGGTCTCAACTCTCCAGTTAAATGACAGACTGATAGATTGGGTTAAAACAGGTATCAATCATCTGGTGTTTTTAATAAATTCACGTCACAGGAAAAGGTAGCCATAGGTTGAAATTGAAGGAGTGGATAAAGATATGCCATGAAATTGAAAATAAAAACAAGCAGGAGTAACTACTATCATAGCTGAAAAAGCAGACTTCAAGACAAAATTAATCAGAAGAGACACGAAATGTTACTTTATATTGGTTACAGAAACTATCCAACAAGAGCATATAACAATTGTAAATACTTCTGTCACATATCTAACTACATAAAAGAAATCATACATATAGTATCATCAGATATACTATAATACAATAATATTAGGTGATGTGACTATTTCTCTCCAATTAATAGATAGGTTATTCAGACAAAAACCTGAAGACTATTTAGACATTAACAACACTATTAAAAAAATGGATCTCACAGACATCTGTAGACTATTTCATCCCACAACAAATGAATTCACTTTTTTCTCAGCTGTACATAGAAACTTGCCCAAAATAGAACATATTTTGGGGCACAAATCAAGTCTTATACAAAAAAGCAGAGGTTATATCTTTTGTCTTATCCTATCATAATAGGATGAAATCTTAAATTGATAACAAAATAAAAAACAAACCATTTTAAAATTCGGAGATTGAATAATACCATTTTGGATGAGGAATGGGTCAAATGAGAAATAAAAAAAATACTAATTCAAAACCAGTAGAAAAGAGGAAATCATTGAATCAGAGCCCAAATTAATAAAATGTAGAATAAAAAATGAAGGTAGTATCACCCTGATATGAAATCTAGACAAAGGTTTTACAAAATACTGCATTAGATATGAGGTTCTATTTATATTTAGGCAATGGATTTCTTTACCATTTAAATATACTTGAAAAACATTTCTTGACAAAGTTCTTAAAAGATTCTTTTACCTGCTGGTTCCTTAGGGAGTAAATAAAAGGATTTAACATTGGGGTAACAGAGGTATTGAGCACAGCTATGCCCTTGGTCAAGGTTTCCTTTCTTTGGCTGAAGTTTTGACATACATGAAAATGCAGCTTCCATAAGAAATGGAGACAACAATCATGTGTGAGGAGCAAGTGGAAAAGGCCTTTTTCCTTTGCTCAGCAGAGGGGATCCTCAGAATTGTCTTAATGATTAACACATAGGACAGAATCACCAATGTTAAGGTTGTAATGAGAGTTAATATGGCCAGGAAAAACGCCAAGAGCTCTAGTAAGGACGTGTCTGTGCAGGAGATCAGAAGCATAGGAGAGGAGTCACAGATGAAGTGATCAGTGATATGAGAGTCACAGAAATCCAGTTGTAGTCCCATGATCACAGGCGAAAACAATGATAAAATCAGTCATCTAGGAACTAATGAAAAGCAGAATGCAGATCCTGCTGTTCATTATTGTTGTGTAATGCAGTGGCTTACAGATAGCAACCTAATGCTCATAAGACATAACAGTCTAAAGGAAAAATTCTGTTGCACCAAGCAGTATGAATAAAAACAACTGGGCCATGCAAGAATTAAAGGAAATGGTCTTATCCCCTGTTGTTATGCTGACCAGGTATCTAGGAATAGAAACTCTTGTGAATGAGATTTCTAGGAAAGAGAAATTCCTAAGGATGAAATACATGGGTGTTTTTAGGTGCAAGTCTATATGAGTGAGAGTGATAATTTTTAAATTTCCAATAATTCTCAGTATGTAGGTGAGAATTAGAAAAATTAAAAATGAAAATATTTGGCTTTGGATCATCTGTTAATCCCAGAAGAATGAACTCAGTTTCAGATGTTTGATCTTTCATTTCTTATTTTTCACTTCTTCCAGGTCTAAAAACGCAAATAAGGATCAATTCTTTAAGGATGTTAGTACTACCTTTTCATCACGTCTCCTGAGGTGAGAAACATAAAAGGCATGTAAAAAGAATAAATTAACCATAAAGATGTACTAATTTTAAAAAATACACATTAACCACAACAAAATAATCTGTTTGTTACCTGCCTTATACATCCCTAGCCATTTAATATGAAGTTAGTCTGTTGGTAGGTATAATAAGAGAGTCTGCATAAGAAAGGTATACTTTTTGAATATGCCATACTTTCCTTTACTTATCTGACCATATGTGTGCAAAAACTACATAGAAATTCTTAAAACCTAAAATACACTTTTGTTGTTAAAATACTATTCCAATGAACACACATTCTGAATTTCTGAACATGGAACATTTCAAAGTATGTTTCTTAATTTTCCATGATACTCAGTGTCCCTCTTAACAGTATATAGGATTAATAATTTTACAAATAAACCAGGACTTTGAAAATATTACTTATATAATTCAAAAGAAACAAACACGGAATTTTCCAAAATATTAAAAATTTTCCTTTCTGAATTGAGTAATAATTTATCTCTGCATAGATGAGTTTCTGAGGGCCAAAGTTAAGTGTATATTATACAATTATTAGAAAAGGGAGAAAAAGAAATGAAGAAAAAAAGAAGAAATGCACTTATAGTCATGTGAATGCTGTTGAACTGCCGAAACCCAAATGCTAAGTTACTCTTATTTAAGTGATGATGTTTGACACTTTACTTTCAGAGTTTTTCATATACTTCTCAGCCTGCCTATCTCTATTTTTTTTTTTTTTGCACAATGACAAATATATAGCATATTGGTGGAATTGGGGCTGATGGTCTTTGTTATATACAGTGAACTTGCTGTAGGAATGACCCCATTAGAAAATCTAATGCTAACATCAGAGAGGCCCTGATGGGATGGGAATATGGCCTCAAGTAGTCAGAGAAGGTCCTAAAACCAGACTTAGGCAAAGTATCCAAGAAGTTCCACTCTTTATGGTCTGGGAAAGAGTTTGGGACCTGATGAGAAATCTTGTATACTGGGAAGAAGCCCTAAGGGTAGTCTGAAGTATTCAATTCATGTTAAGTCTGAAAGTCTGGAACACAGGTAGCATTGCAAAATGGTCATTGAGTAAAAGTGTCTGTTACCAACTTACTATTTTTAAGAGTAGAACTATAAGTTTGAAGTTGGAGATGGCAGTAGAAAAATGAACAGTTTAGAATTGATTACAGGGCAGGATTTCACAGCCAGAGATAATGCTTTCTTTGAATTTGGAAAAAATTCTGAGAAAGAAAGGAAAGAATAAAGGAAGGAAGAAAGAAAGGAGGAAAGAAAAAGCAGGAGGGAGTGAGGGATGGAGGTGAGAGAGGGAGTAATAAAGAGAGAAATCATTAAATAAAAGGAACAAAATAAGTGGCTTTGGGGGATTTTTTTTTTTATTTTGAGGGCCAATACTTACAAAGAAAGAGACAAATAGAGGTGATAAAGATGTCAAATTTGCTTGTGAATTAAGTGAAACAGTTTCTAATCAGGACAGAACACATGCCATGAATAAAAATCAAGGATCAATAGTTATGAAAAACAGGTGAAGTGCATGGCATATGAAATGCAATTGTTGTGATGATTAATAGTAAAGGATTATATCAAGTTGTATGATCCAAGATCAGGCATTTAGTATCTTGTTTCCAAAATTTCTATAAAAAGAATAAAGTCCTGACCTTAGATGCTAGGAAACCTGAAATACATTTTACTTGGCTCTCAGGAAGCATTAATAAAAGATAGGTTGCAATTTTTTTATTACTTCTTTTTTACCTTTCTGTTGGAAAACTTGGTTTTATAAATATTCTTTTTAAATAAACTAATTTGTTTTGTCTGTTTCTTTTTTTTTTTAATTTCCCCTCCTCTAAACAGACACAGGGGATTCTTGCTGGAGAGCAGAATTAAAATGTCTCTGGAGAGCATGGTACTGATGAGAGCACCCTAAAGAAAAGCTGAGTAACTTTAACTAGACTTATTTTAGAATTTTTTTCCTCAATATTAAATAACAGAAAATTGTACAATGGCAACAATAACAATAAAGAAATGACAGTATTATGTTACTTTGGACTTCATATTGTCCATCTTGTCTTTTTTTCAACCTGAAACAAAAGTCTGATGAAATAATATAATCCTACTTCATGGGAACATGTAAAAAAGTAGAAAATAGAATGAGAAGAGACTTCAAGAATATTGTGTTAGGCAGCTTTTGATTCCTCTGACCAAAATACCTAACAAGAACAGTTAGTGGATATACTATTTACTTTGAATCACAGTTTTGTAAGTTCAGACCATGGTTGGTTCACTCCACTACTCTGGGCTGAGATGAGATGGAGCATCACGACAGAAATGTGTGGTGAGAAAAAGCTGCTGACCTCATGGATACTAGGAAGCAGAGGGAGAGAGAGACAAGAAAGAGGGGGAGAGAGAGAGAAATGGGGTGGGGAGATGCATTCAGGCACTGGGGCAAAATATAAACTCCAGAGTCATGCTTCCAGTCACCTACTTCTTCCAACCACACTCCACCTACTTATATCCTAACCATCCTGTTAATCCATTCAAATTAAAATGGTCTGCTTAAGTTACTACTCTCATTATCTAAGCATTTCAAATCTGAACATTTCTGTGGTGATTCATGCGAGACACCTCATATGCAAACCATAACAAATATTAACTGTGCCATTCAGATCTTTATTTGTTGATAGAAAGCATATTGGGTATGTATTTTAGGGAAGATAAAGATAGCTATAGGCATATCAGCAAGATACAATGAAAATTGAGACTATAATATAAATATAAAACTCATAAAATTGATATCTGTAAAAACTCCTCAAATATTTTCCTGTACTCCATGTTTGTGAAAATATATCAACATACACTCAACTCTCATGCATTAACAAATTAAATTAAAATTAAAACATTAACAAATTAAATTAAAATTAAAACATAAATTTTTTTAACAAAAAAAATTAAAAATATTGTTTCTTTCACATTAGAAACCAAGTAAACAAAGTT